GGTGGCCGGGAGAGGCCCCTGCACTCCAGTCTGGGCGACAGAGTGAGACTCCAACTAAAAAAAAAAAAATCAGTCAGGCATAGTGGTACACACCTCTAGTCCTAGCCATTCAAGAGGCTGAGATGGGAGGATCTTTTGAGCCTAGGAGTTCAAGGGTTCAGTAAGCTATGATTGTGCCACTGTACTCTAGCCTGGGTGACAGAGTTAGACCTTGTATCAAAAAATAAAAATAAAACCTTTCACAATAAATGAAGTGAATTATTTTCCTTTACTCTTCAGAATTTAAAAAAATTACTTCATCTTTTTACAAAACAGTCTGAAAAGGAGCACAAAATATTAAACTAGAGGTCAAAGAAGAGAGTTCTTAATTCAGTCTCATAAGTTAGAATGCATAAAGAACTAGAACTTAGTTGGGCACGGTGGCTCACATCTGTAATCCCAGCACTTGGGGAGGTGAGATCTTAATTCCACTCAATTTGCCTAAAGAGCTAGTAATTAAATTAGATATTGTCCTGAATCTATGTAATGTAACTATATAATTAAAATTATATACTGTCATAAAATTAAAAGGTACAAGGTACAATTTTTACTTGGATCAAATAAAAATAAATACTGTTTAAAAAAAAGATTCTAAATATTTTATAAATTTAACTTCTTTCAAAATGTGTACTATAGCAGTACAATTCCAGAAAGAGAACACTGGCAGCAAAATCTAAAGATATCTCTAATTAAAAGTCACCAGATTGAGGGGAAGGGAGCAAATCTACAGAAAAAAGAAAAAAGCATATTCCACTTTGTCTACAACTTTCTCCCTCCCTTCATGGAGCTCTTGAAGCACTTTGGGCACTTCATCATATGCAATTTTAAGTTGCCAATTATTCATATGAGTTTATTCTGTCTCTGAATAATCTACAATACAAGTTACTCAAGGATATATATATTTTTTTGAGTTGGAGTCTCACTCTGTCACCCAGATTGGAGTGCAGTGGCACACTCCCAGCCACCGCAGCCTCAACCTGCTGGGCTCCGGTGATCCTTCCACCTCAGCCTTCCAAGTAGCTGGAACTACAGGTAAGCGCTACCACGCCCGGCTAATTTTTGATTTATTGTAGAGATGAGGTCTCGCTAAGTTGCCCAGGTGGGTCTCGAACCCACGAACTCAGGAAATACACTTGCCTTGGCCTCCCAATGTGCTGGGATTACAGGCTGAGCCACCAAGCCCAGCCACTCAAGGATATTTTATCTCACATATCCTAATAGGAGACAGTGATATAAGCAGAATTAAATACACAACTTTTTTTTGTATTATAGTGCAAACCCATCCTAAAGTTAGGTAGGCAATTATGCTTTCACAGAAATCTTGACTCTTTTTTATAGCACACATTATCTATAATTATATATTTATTTGGTTTACTTGTTTATTCTGCCTTTCCTCACCAAATAAAAGTTCACGAAAAAAGGGTCCTAGTTTGTCTTGTTCAATGATCTTTACTGATCATTACTGACATTAGTGAGTACTATATAACAATGTTACATAGGATTGAATAGGAGAGGCTTAATAAATGTATATTGAACTAATTATTGTACATATAGTTATCCAGGACCTACTGCATACATAGCATGGTATTTAATGGGGGCAAGAAGTTATAAAGGAAGAAGTGAATAAATTGTCTTAAATCTCCCAGTGATAATGAACACCATTGCTACTTACATCGGCTCCTTCTAAAGACTTTTTCAGTACTGCAACCACTTCCTCCTGGAAAGCAACTTCATCCACACATTTTGGACGACTGGAGTAGGCAAGTGGAGGACAGGATGAGGTTATTCAGTATATAACAGTAGCCACAGAAGTCTCAAGTGTTACTTCTACTAAAATGCCAATAACAATTTCCAAGTATTGGTAATGAAATGAGAAACTTTTTCATAATTAGAAATCGATATAAACCCCATTTCTATTTACCTTAAGTAAATACATACTGAAGAAGTTAACACTTTTTCACTTCCCATGTGCATTGCTTACATCGGTTATGCTTACGAAAATTTTAAAAAAAGACTGCATATTACAAATGACAAATGATTAGAAATCAAAGTGAACACTTATTTAGAAAGCAGGATTATATTTTGGCAAAATAACTGTGAGCCTAAGTTGAAAAGGAAGACCTATTTAGGAACCTTAGGATAAGTAACTATCTTGGTTAATGTATTAGGTTGGTGCATAAGCTCATAGTGTTTGTTTTTAGCATGGCAACACTGTGGTGTTGGGAATCTGTCATTTGGAGTGACAATGCTGTGCTTGTGAATATGCCTTGCATTTTGCAGTTTGGAGAAAGTTAGTGCTACCTGTGGACTAAAGAAGATGGGGTGTCAAGTAGCAAAAACCGAACACCTCCAACATATTCTTCTGTTTAACAGAGGAGTAAAGGCAGCGGAAACAGCTCAACATGTGTACAGGAAGAATGCCACAAAAATGGTTTTGTTGTTTCAAAAAGGGATACTTTGACCTAAGTGATTCTTCACGTTCAGGAAGACCATTGGGCTCTGATGAAGACAGTTTAAACGTTTTAATCCACAATGATCCATATCAGTCAACCGAGAATTGGCAAATGTGATGAACTAAACGACCAATTACTGTGCAGTATTTGCATTCCATAAGCAAGCAGAAAAACGCTACGAACATATGCATCAACCCAATAGTTACATTTATACTTAATATGTTGTTAGCTGATTTTATTTTTTGGAGTCGGAGTCGTACTCTTGTCATCCAGGCTGGAGTGCAGTGGCACACTCATGGCCCCTGCAGCCTCAATCTGCTGGGCTTGGGCATGTGCCACCACATCCAGTTAATTTTTTGATTTATTGTAGAGACAAGGACTCACCATGATGCTCAGGCTGGTCTGGAACCTGAGCTCAGGCAATCCTCTTGCCTCCCAAAATGCTAGGATTACAGGTGTGAGAATTCGCGCCTGGCCTGTTAACTGAGTAATACCAATTTTTTCTGTTGCCTAACTCATACACAAAAATGGAGACCTATTCATTTCACTGAGGGCTAATAAAACAACTTTAGCCAATATAACGTATAATAATATATAATTTTCATCTTACATCATTAATTAGTGATTTTAAGAGAAGGCAGAAAAATGTTACATTCTTAACCCTAAGATTAGGCTTTGGGCTTAACTAATCAAGAGTTCTTTGATCAACACTTTTCTGATTAATCCAGTCAATGCTAGGCAGGAATTATGTAAGAATATTTCCTAGGGAGATCAGTATATGTTATAAAGCATGGCCTCATATTCAAAAACTGCAGGAATTAGGGAGATAACAAGTGAGGAAGGCAGAATACCAGGCAAGAAATAGTAGGGACCATGGCAAACTGAGAAACACATGACCTTTACAAAAGGAGAAACAGTACACAAATCTATCTAATTGTTACCATGTGAACACTTGCATATGGTGTTGCCTGATTATCTAGATTCCCCTCCTCTTGTATAATTCTTTAATTTAAAAAAATATATAGGCTTTTTTTTTTTTTTTTTGCCAGGCTTGGTGGCTCACGCCTATAGTTCTAGCACTTTTGGAAGCTGAGATAAGAGGACTGCCTGAGCCCAAGGGTTCAACAGCAGCCTGGCAACATGGTGAGACCTCGTCTCTACAATAAATAAATAAATTAGCTGGGTGTAGTGGCACACACCTGTAGTTCCAGCTACTTGGAAGGCTGAAATGGAAAGACTGCCTGAGCCCACAGCAGGTTGAAGCTGTGGTAGCTGTGAGTGTGCCATTGCACTCCAGCCTGGGTGGCAGAGTGAGACTCCAACTCAAACAAATAAGTAAATAAATAAAATAAAATAAGGGAATTAAGCTAGATAATTCTAAGGTAACTTTTAGTTCCAAGGTTCTGGCATATAGCACTAGGTGATTTTTCTTTTCTTTTTCTGCCGCCCAGACTGGAGTGCAGTGGCACGCTCACGGTCATTGCAGCAATGTCCTGTTGTGCTCAGGCAATCCTTCTGCCTCAGTCTTCCAATTAGCTGGAACTACAAGGTGCACACCACCACATCTGGCAAATTTTTTGATTTATTGTAAAGATGTGGTCTCACTATGTTGCCCAGGCTGGTCTTGAACCCCTAGGCTCAGGCAATCCTCTCACCTCCGCCTCCCAAAGTGCTGAGATTATAAGCATAAGCCACCGTATCTGGCTACTGGGTGATTTCCAAGGACAGTATTTAAACACAGTAAATCATTCCCCCATACGTAAAATACAGTGATCAGAACCGGTTAGAGAGGTAATTTATTAATTATTATAACAGACACAGTTATAATGTTCTTACTATTTTTCCACCCAGGGAACAGGTTTGGCTTTCTTGTTCTCTCCACTGCTTCCTGCAGTGGCAGCTACTCCTCGATCCTTGCTCAATGGTGGCTTAGTACTAATAGAAGTGCCTTTTAAAAATGCCTGCATGGTTGCTTCATCCTGAGTAAGTTCAAGAAAGAAAAGGAAAAGCTTTTTTGAAACCATGATAAGGAAGTACAGTCTGAAGGCACACTTAGCCTTGTGCAAAGGACAATTATTTAATAAAGTACATAGCCCCATGACCTAGGGCACTTTGAATGCATTGTACTGAGGGCTACAAAGACATAAATGAGGTCAAAATCCTCAAGGAATTTAGAATCTCATTTCTAGTGCAAAAGCTACAGAACAAAGATAAATCATGCCTGAAAAATTTTTAAGAGCTCCAAACACACTGATAAATATATCACTAATGGCCAAAATGTACGTGGCCCTAGCTCTAGCTCAGACCCTGAACTGGATCAGCAATTAAAGATGCTGGCACCACAAATGAGAACCTTCACTCCTTTTCTTGGGCCAGTCCCCCATTCATGCTGTTTTAATGGCCTTCAGAGACTTTCTGTGGGGAAAGGAAGTTGGAAGATCCTTGTTAAAATAGATACAGCTACTTATCTCATAACACACTCATCTGAAGAAATAAAAACAAATGCAGAAAAGTATGAGAAATTTTAAAAATTCATACAAAAATCCCATCCAGAAGGCAACTATTGCAAACTTTCAGGTAAACACACTTCCAGGCTGTTTCGTGATTAAAAAAAAAAAAAAAATCCTCATTAACTTGCTTGAAAATCCCTAGCAATCGTGTTTTTTTCCCCACGGCCACGTGCCCTGGTGCCTAGAACAGTGCCTGGTACACAGTAGATGCTCCATAATATTGGTGAATAAATTACCGTCTATGAGACTCAATATCACCCCACCCCCCGTAAAAGCTGCTAAGACCTACTCCCAAGGCAAATAAATTAATGTGTGCAAATACGTAGTTCTGTGTTTGGCATACACTTAATAAAATAAACTATATTTTAAATATCTGTAAACAGCCAAGGTGTTAAACGCTACTGGATCGCTCCATCCTTATCTCGGGCTGCTAAACAGGAACACAGCCTATAAAGCATGCAAGATGCAGTTCGGAAGCGCCGTTTCACCTAGGGGTGCGGGCAGGTATGAGAGGGCAGCCGAGCTGGGAGGCCTCACAGCGGCATCGAGGGCGGGAAGGGCGAAAGCCCAGGCGAGCTCGCAACGTGCAGAAGGACCCTGTCACTCCGGCACAGCCCGGGCCTTTCAGCCGCTCGTCACCGGGGTGCGCACGCGGCAGGCCCGTTCCTGGGGTTTCCGGGATGGGGAAAGAATGAGGTGGTCGCGAAGTCTTAGCTCCGGCCCCAGCCTGAGAATAACGGGCCTAGGAAACTTACAGTCGCCGCTGTCCCCACCGTCGCTTCGGTTCCCGCCACCGAGCGGCCGGCGAAGAGCAGGGCGGGAAGACGCGGGCACGTCGCGCGTCACTTCCGGTCCGGGCGCGCTGCTGGCTGGCGGGGCCGCTGGCGCGCGTGTGGTTCTGTTTAAACAAGTGATGAGACACACGGACTCTCAAGCAGGAATAGGCTGGAACACGCATGGCCACGGAAGTTCACCCTGTCCCGGTGCGTTGTTCCCACTCGAGACTTGAACGCGGCCGTCCCCCAAGGAGTAGGGGCCCGGCGGGCGAGACGCCCAGGCCACTTACTGCGCATGCTCGGCCATGTGGGCGGGACGCGGCGCGCGGGCTCAGGAGTCCGGCGGTGCACCCGGAGCCCTGAGACCCACTGTCGTTTTAGGTTTGGACCTGCAGAACTCGGACCGCACACTGTAAGCTTCGTTTGTGGTCATGGGCGTTTCTGCCGCAACGCAATGTGGTTTGCAACTTGCTTTCCTCCAAAGAAGGACGGGGACTGGAGAGGGTCTAGCCGATCTTTCATCACAAGAAGGCACCCTGCGGGTCCGTCCTCCCTGTCCTGCTTCGTCGCGGAGCAAAATGCGTGTGCTTTATGGTCAGAGACGTCTTAGGAAGATGCCTTTCCTTACTGTCTTGAGGGCACATGGTATACACTTCTAATAATGTCTGCCCGTTGTAGGGAGGACCTTTGCAGTTATGGACATCTTCCAGTTCCTGAGGCTGGCTCAGAAATCTGGCAGTGCAGGCGCTCAATAACGGTTCAAAGATTGTCAATCATGTTTAGCCCCACCAAGGTTCATGCACTGTGGGCTCCAGGCAGATAGATGTCTGAGGCCACCGCTATTATCTCTCCCAAGTGCTTAGTTTAGCTGTGAATTGTTCCTAGATCCTTTTGAAATCTGACTCTTCTAAAATGCTGCCTTCTCCACAGTCCTTTGGTAATGACTAAATCCGTAAGATTCATCTGGGTCTTCTGCACATCAGTGACTTTTGTTTGGCACAAACTCAGTATCATACCCATTGCTAACTTTACATATATATTCATTTGTCTTGCAACAAATGCTTATGGATTGCCCATACCCTGTTCTGGATGCTGGCGATACTGCAAGGAAAAAGCTAGAAGTTGTCCTCAAACAGCTTTGCAGACTAGGAGGATGACAGACAATGTGATGTGTGTTATGCAGAGGAAGTAGAAAGTTGTGAGAAGATACGTCTCAGGCCTAACTAATCAAGGGTTTAACCAGATCAACTGAGGGTGCTTTATGCTACTCTGGAACTTCCACAGAGCCTGGTCCAGTCTCTGGACAGTTTAAAAAACACACAGGTAACCTGCCTGGTCACTGGCTTACATTGTAACTCGTCAAACTGTAACTGTACACTTAGTGTTTGTACTTTTTATAGTATGTAAATTATATGTAAATAAAACTGATAAAACAAAGATCTCTGAAAATAGATGATAACCATTTGCTACTTGAACAAACACTACAACCACACACACAGAGAGATTATAATCTCATTTAACAGATAAAAAAGCTGAGGCTTAGATGGATATGGTGGTCTTTGTCCACTTGGGCTGCTATAACAAAATACCTTAACGTGGGTGGCTTATAAACAAATTATTTTCACAGTTCTAGTGTCTGAGAAGTCCAAGATCAAGGTGCCAGCAGAATCATTGCCTGGTGAGGGCTCGTTTCTTCATTGACAACTGTCACTTTAACCTGTCAGTGAAAAGGGCTATCTTTCTCCAGCTGCTTATCTTGTTTTATTTTAGAGACAGGGTTGCCCAGGCTGGCTGGAAAGCAGTGGCATGATCACAGCTCACCATAGCTTCAAACTCTTGGACTCAAGCAATCCTCCTGCCTCAGCATCCCAAATAGCTGGGACTACAGGTGCAAGCACCATGCTCGGCTAATATTTTGATTTTTTGTAGAGACAAGGCCTTGCTATGTTGCCTAGGCTGCTCTCGAACTCCTAGGCTCAAGCAGTCCTCTTTCCTTGGCCTCCCTAATTGCTGGAATTACAGGTGTGAGCCACGGGGCCCAGCAAGCTGCCTTTTTTATAAAGGCACTAATTCATGAGGCCTCCATTCTCATGACCTAATCACCTCCCAAAGGCTCTACCTCCTGATGCCATCACCTTGGGGGTTATAATTTCAACATGTGAATTTTGAGGGGACACAAACATTCAGACCATAGCAAAGGTTAATAGCAAATAAGTAGCAAAGCTAGAATCCATGCATAGGACTGCCTGGCTCTACACTCACTGGGTAGGTCCAGGGCTGGCACAGAGGTACCTTTATGCTAAGTAGGAAAATGGGATCTGAATGGTAGCTTGTTTTGGCAACTGGTTTAGAAAAAGTGCCACCTTCTTTAGAATATTCAGCCCTTGATTGGGTGGAAAGCTTGGTAATAAGAGGTTGTGCTAGATTTGAACCTCCACTTGTGCCCCCGGCTGACCATTCCATTATTGTGCTTGACTATAGACAGCATCTTAATCCAGGTACACACACACATGAAGCATTGTCTCTGTCATCAGAACAAGAAATATTATATGACTACATAAATCATTTTGTGCCATTTATACATGGGTGCTCATGTCATTAAACCAGTTCATAAGTTTATAACAGTTTTTTTTTTTTTTTTTTGAGTTGGAGTCTCACTCTGTCGCCCAGACTGGAGTGCAGTGGCCGCTCCCGGCCACCGCAGCCTCGACCCGCTGGGCTCTAGCGATCCTTCCACCTCAGCCTTCCAAGTAGCTGGAATTACAGGCATACGCTACCACGCCTGGCTGATTTTTTTGATTTGTTGTAGAGATGAGGTCTCGCTGCCCAGGCGGGTCTCGAACCCGCGGGCTCAGGCAATCCACTCACCTCAGCCTCCCAAAGGTGCGGGATTACAGGCTGAGCCACCGAGCCCGGCTTATAACAGTTTTTGTTATTTATTTTAAATGGGTATTCATTCAGTTACTGTTGTGATACCATTATGTGGAAATTAATGAAGTTTTTTAATGTGAAAAAGGGCTTTCCAAAGTTGAGTACAGCTCTACTTTGTGTGTTGTCCTTTGAAACAGATAAAACTGTACCTGGATGATGTCCACTAGGCAAGGACAGGAAAAAACTTAGGTGGCAAATAAAAAAAGAGCTGTCAGGAGAGGAAAGGATTAGATACTGGATGACAATGTCATTTTAAAATCAGAAAAGGCTGGGCTTGGTGGCTCAGCCTGTAATCCCGCGCCTTGGGAGGCTGAGGTGAGTGGATTGCCTGAGCCTGCAGGTTCGAGACCCGCCAGGGCAACTTGGCGAGACCTCATCTCTACAATAAATCAAAAATTAGCCGGGCATGGTAGCGCGCACCTGTAGTTCCAGTTACTTGGAAGGCTGAGGCGGAAGGATTGCCAGAGCCCAGCAGGTCGAGGCTGCGGTGGCCGGGAGCAGTCACTGCACTCCAGTCTAGGTGAGAGAGTGAGACTCTGACTCAAAAAAATAAAAAATAAAAATAAATCAATAAAATCAGAAAAGGCAGGGGTAGTGACTGTTTGGTGTGCCACTTTTGAGGACTGAGATACTCCCCCAACAGCTCAGAGTGGTGACAACTGACAGCTCTCACTCGAGTCCCTGTCCTGCAAATGTCTTCAGTCAAACAAAACCACTTTATCCAAAATCGCATTCCTTCCGTTGGGGGCTGCCCAACTCCAAGGACTAACCTAGGAGGTACCATGGCTGGTGAAGTTTAATTGCCAGCGTGGCACTGTTGGGAAGTGGGGCCCAGTGGGAGGTGTTCGACTGATGGGGTAAATCCCACATGAATAGCTTGGTGGCCATCTCAAGTTCTCAGGAATGGATTAACTCCTAAGAGAGGATGGTTATAAAGCAGGTCATGCTCCTTGGTCCTTGGTTATAAAGCAGGTCATGCTCCTTGATACTTAGCACACACCTGCTCACCTCTTTGCTTCTCCATGTTATGAGGTAGCATGAGGCCCTCACTAGAAACTGGACAGATGTCAGCACCATACTCTTGGATTTTCCAGCTACCAGAATCGTGAGCTAATAAAGCCCTTTTCTTTATAAATTACCCAGTCTTGGGTATTCTGTTACAGCAAAACAAAATGGACTATGGCAGAGGAGTATAAAGGCTTGGTTCCTTTTTCTTAAGGTGGCACAACTCTTATGGGTTATTCAAGCTCTAGATCTTTGTTGCACCTGCATCACAGTACAACTTCTTCTGCCCAGTCCTGCTTCCCTCATTCCTCTCAGGTGTTGTTTTCTAGAGTACCACAAAATAAAAAACTTGCATGCAAATCTCAAAAATACCTTTCTTAAGGGATCCGACCCAGAAGTGGTCCTAGAAAAAGGCTCTAAAATGGAATTTGAGATGGCTAATAAGAGAACCCCATCACTGGTGGTAGTGGAACTCTGATAGTCCCTGGCATGCTATATTGAAACTTTCACCAGTGGTAAGATAGAATGGGATATCAGTGGAAGGGAATGCACAAGCAGACGCAATTTCTCAGGATTTTGGGGAAATAGTAATTATAAGAACTTTGGAATTGAATGGCCACATGGTATCATTAATTCCTTAAAGACAATGAAACGTGTGTGAATATTTTGCAACATGAGACCAAGTATAAAAGCCAGAGGGTCTGTTGGCAGCATATAAAGTGATTCACATGTCCTGCAGCCAGAGTGGGGAAAAGATTGTGAGTCAAACCCCCAAAACTCAATTATATGAATGGCAGAGTTCCAGAGAAGGTTAAATTCTCAACTCAAATGAGATGCACCAAGGTCAAGGGCATGATCACAAAAAAACAGATTCTGAGACTTTAAATGGGCCATTGGGGTCAATGCATTTAAAATTGTAAATTTTCAAATTCCCCTGAATGCTGCGGATCTACAGAAGAAGCCCATTTCTCCCTGTTAAAGGATTATGCTCCTCTTTTAGGGATGTATGTAAAAGCTTTTGTCTTGTAAGACAACACATATTTTTCCCTTTCCCCCCTTCTTTTATCCCCTTCTCCACTTTACCACCACTAACAGGGAGATGACTACCCAAAA